CACAAAATAAGTAGCTCAGAGGGGGAAGCTGGGCAGGGGTTCCATCTAGCCTAGTACCAAGAAGCCAGGCAAGATAAACACAGGCAATGAATTTGCTAACAAGCACACAGCAGAAACAGGAGCCTATTTGGAGAAAAAAAAAAATTAAAAAATTCTTCGAAGTAAAGATTCATTAAAAGTCCTAAATTTATGATTCTAAAACTGATCTCAGAGTTTCATGGAGAGAAGCTCACAGGGATTTTGAAGATGGCAACAAGGTTTTGTAAGTGGTGAAGGACTCTATTAGGCTTCTGTTAGCACCTTGGGATAATCTGATTAAAATAGCAAAGTAATTTATTAAGACCCTAAAAACTTTGCAATATAACAAGCTTATTTAGAGTTGCCTATAGAACTTAAGGAAATGAAAGATAAGAAGGGTTTAATTTACATTGCGGGTACAGTTTCATCACTAAATGAAGTCAGATTACATTGTCAATTCTTAACATTATAAAGAAAATAAACAATCCCAAACCCCACTGCTGTAGGATTGGACTTTTAACTATGGCCGTCAGGTTTTTGAAGCTGTAAATCTCTATGAGGGTTAAACCAGGCTGCTCCTTGGAGGCAAAGATTCTGGGGCTTCAACTGACATACTTTGGACATGTTGTAAGGAGAGACAGGTCTTTGGAGAGGGACATCCTGCTGGGCAGAGTGGAGGGACAGCGCAGGAGGGGAAGACCCTTTATGAGGTTGATTGATTCAGTGACTGGGGTAATCGGGATGGGTGTGTCAGAGGCCATGCGATTGGCACAGGATAGAGCAGGGTTTAGGGCTGTTGTACATAGGGTCGCTATGAGTCGCAAACGACTCGACGGCACATAACAACAACAACAAATCTCTATGTGACGAGACTGCCCCTCTTTCTCTCCCTCAGCACCTGGTGGGTTCCAGCTGTATTAGGAGGCTGCTGTACCATGTGCTACACCACCAGCGCTCAGTTAAATAGAAAATTTTAAAAAGAAAGAAAGAAAGAAAATGTTCTGCATAAGCTCAAGTTTTATTTAAAAAACATGCTTATGACGTTCTTTTTAATTTGCAACAGGAAGCCAGACATTGCAAGCTAAGAACTCTGTACTATAACTATTCCCATTTTCTTAAATCATCAGTCTCAAATCAAAAGGATTAAAAAATTTGTTATTTCTTAAGTTATTATTTTTTATTATTTTAAAAAATGAATTTTAATGACAGTTTACAGAGACTTTGGATTTCCACTTATTCATTTTTGCACTATTCTCCCTGCCCACCCCACCTCTCCCCAACCCATTTTGCTCTGCTCTTTAAAAAAAGAAAAGAAAAATTCTTCCATTGTTATACAATCCCTTCCCCAAGTTCACTCCACTAAACAGCCTTTTTTTCTGGACTCCTGTCATGAAAATAATACCTAATCATATATCCTTTTTAAACAGTTCTCTCCCTCATCTGTTTCGTGCAGTATACATTATTTATCCCATCTTTCTCAGTCTTCTCCTAACCCTGATGTCAGTCCTGTTTTACAACAGTGACACTATGCAGTATTTGTTCTTTTGTGACAGAGATATTTCACTCAGCATAATGTCCTCCAAAGTCACCCATTTTGTATAATATTTCATGAGTTCCTTGTTTTTCAGTGCTGCATATTATTCCATTGTGTGAATATACCACAGCTTCTCTATCCATTCGTTTGTTGATGGGCACTTAGGTTGTTTCCAACTCTTTTCTATTGTGAACAAAGCTGTAATACACATGAGTGTGCATATATCTGCTTGAGTGGCAGTTATGGTTTCTTTGGGGTATATTCCCAGTAGTGGAATTTCTGGGTCAAATGATATATATTTCTATCTGCAACTTTTTGAGAAAGCACCATATTGCTCTCCATAGTGTCTGCACCAATTTATACTCCCACCAACAATGAATAAGGGTTCCCGTTTCTCCACAACCTCCCCAGCATTTGATATTTGCTGTTCTGTTGAATTTTACTATTCTTACTGGGTGAGATGATATTGCATAATTGTTTTGATTTGCATCTCTCTTAGAGCTAGGGATTTTGAACATTTCTTCAAGCATTTGTTTGCCATCTGAATTGTCTTCTTTGGTTTAGTGTCTGTTCATATCCTGTGCCCATTTATCAATTGGGTTGTTTACCTTAATCTTGTTGTGGTATAAAGCTATTCATGAATTGAACTCAAATGATATAAAAACTTAACATTATTTCAACCATTGTAAATGTCTTGAATTATTAAGCCTTTAATTACACATTTTTCTATCTTCTTCCTGGTAGACTCAATCGGCTAATGAAATGAAAATTAAAATTATGTAATAGGTACAAGGTTGTCTCGGGATACTAGATCTCAGAATTACTAGTTGTTAGAAAAGAAAACAAACTAAAAACCCTTAACATCAAGAAAACAAAGATTCTCACCACTGACCCAATTGGCAGCATTAGTATAGATGGTGAAGAGATTGAGATAGTTAACAGTTTTAGTTTACTTGGCTTCACAGTCAACACTCTTGCTAATAGCAGTCAGGAAATCAAGAGATGAATTGCACTGGGAAAGTCAGCTGTGAGGGACCTTTCATGAGTACTGAAGAGCAATGACATCAGGCTGGAGATTAAGGTGCACCTGATCCAGGCTATAGTCTTTGCAATTTTGTGTTATGCACTGGAGAGTTGGACAGTGAATAGGGATGATAGAAAGAGAATTGATGCCTTTGAGCTGTGGTGCTGGAGAAGAGTGTTGAATATACCATGGCTGCTAGGAGAACAGACAGGTTTGTCCTGCAGAGGGTGAAGCTGGAATGTTCCTTGGAGTCAAAGATTCTGAAGTTTTGTCTGACATACTTTGGACATGTTGCGAGGAGAGGGACATCATGTTTGGGAGAATGGAGGGATGGTACAAGAGAGGAAGACCCTCTATGAGATGGATTGATTCTGTGATTAGGGTGGTGGAAATGAGTGTGTTGGAGACGGCAAGGTTGGCACAGGATAGAGTGGTGTTTAGGGCTCTTGTACACAGGTTCGCTATGAGTTGCAAGCGACTTGATGGCACATAACAACAACAACAATATCAATTCCAGAAAGTAATTACTTCAAAAATTCACAGGATTCACAGTGAAGACAAAATGGTTTTTAAGGTTTCGTTCAAACAAAAACAAAACAGGGGGGAAAAAGTGCTAGCGAGAAAAAAGAGCAAATGCTGGTGTTCTAATTGGGTAATTATATATTGATTTCATATATCTCCAGAAGGAACTAATTGGTTAGTGTGTTCTTTGGTGTTCTCAACAAGAGCTGTAAGAAAGAAAGCTGCCCAGCCTCCTCCTGTAGAGTTTTACACCACAGAGGGGTTGTCATGAGTCAAAACTGACTTGACACCAGTGCGGTTTGGGCTATATTTCAGAAAATGGCATGGGTGAGTCTGATGCCAAAACTCTATTTCAGGATATACATACTCTTTCTCTTATACCTTTTTGCATTTGTATTGCTTAAATTTTCTTTTCTGGAATTCATGGTATTTCTCTGTTATCTACCTTTTACATTTGCTCTGCTGTAATTCTTGTGCATCTGAGATTATCAACTAGGACAACCAGAAGCCTCAACCTATTGCTAAAGCCACACAACATGCCTGGGATGCTGTTATTGTTGATAAACTCAGTTTAGTGATCTCTGTAGTGTGTCGTTGTTTGTTGTGTATCATTGAGTAGTCTGTAGCTGACACTCCAGCAGGCTTTTAGAGACTAAATCCCATGACAGGAGATTGTACATCTTTCTTCTGAGGAGCAGCTGTTGGATTTGTTTTTTTTTCTATATTTTATTAATTTTCATAAACATTTACAGAGATTTTGGGTTTCCATTCATTCATTGTTGCACTATTCTCTCTACCCTCCTCCCAGTTTGTTCTTGTCCAAATGCCACAGTGCTTGTCAAAGCCAGTTCTGATTAATCTTCTTTGTCAGTGTGTCCTTTGCCATTCCCTATCACTCCTCCCTGAGAGAGACTTCACCCTGAGTCATAAGGAAAAGGGGATGGCGTATTCTCTTAGCTACTTCCTGCTGAAAAGGGACGCTGTGGGTTTCAGGGTGAAGATCTTCTTTCACTACTCTAAAGGGCCCCTTTGGCAGTAGGAAACACATAGACTATTATGGAGATTGATTTTGGAATTTAGATGCACTCTTATTGATTGTGCTTGGCCGTACATGTTCATATCCTTGAAGATGTATCATGGGGGTGTTGCAACCTAGAAGGCACAAATTTGACTAACAAGTTATAAGTACATGAGTCCAAAAATTATGGAAAAGTAAAAGAAAAGATTCTTTCATTGTTTTACAAACCCTCCCCCAGGTCCCCTCCACCATGTAGCCCTCGCTCTAGTCTCCTGTGATGACAGAAATACCTAGTTATATATCTCTTTTAAACAGTTTTCTCCCTCCTCTGTTTCAGTGCAGTATACATTATTGAACCCATCTTACTCAGTCTCTCCCCAACAGTGGCATCATGTAATATTTGTCCTTTTGTGACTGGGATATTTCACTCAGCATAATGTTCTCCAGAGTCAACCATTTTGAATAATATTGCATGAGTTCCTTGTTTTTTAATGCAGCATAGTATTCCATTGTGCGAATACACCACAGCTTCTCTAGCCATTCGTTTGTTGATGGGCACTTAGGTTGTTTCCAACTCCTTGCTATTGTGAACAAAGCTGCAATAAACATGGGTGTGCATATATCTGCTTGGATGTCAGCTATGAGACCACAGCTGTTGGATTTGAACCACCTATATCTGCACTGGCAGCGCAAGTCCTTATCCATTACACCATTACACCACCAGAACTTCTCGGCAGCATGAAGTTCCCCAAAAAGAAACAATCTCTTCTTTTTCTGGGATCATAACTTCACAGAGAATTGGAAACAGATGGGTTGCTAATGTTGAAATGACATTATTCCTGTCATGAATATCTATTTTAGCATGTTTTCTTTCTTTCTTTCAGACTCCAAGCAATTTCTAATATATAATGAAGATCACAGGCGTTGTGTGGAAGCTGTGAATCCTAATGCAGTACAGACTGCAGCCTGCAACCCAGACAGTGAATCACAGAAATTCCGCTGGGTGTCTGATTCTCAGATTATGAGTGTTGCATTTAAATTATGCTTGGGCGTGTCATCCAAAGCTGACTGGATTGCTGTCAATCTGTATAGCTGTGACCCTAAAAGTGAATATCAGAAATGGGAGTGCAAAAATGACACACTTTTTGGAATCAAGGGAGAAGGATTGTATTTTAACTATGGCAACAAGCAAGAAAAGAATATTATGCTCTACAAGGGCTCAGGTTTGTGGAGTAGATGGAAGATCTATGGAACCAATGATGATTTATGTTCTAGAGGCTATGAAGGTAAGAAGCTTAGATTTTTATCTCTGCATTACTTTTTTTCTCATTTTCTTAGTTGTAACTAAGTTCAAAAGAGTAAACATATTCTTATTTTTTCTGTACTACAACTATTAACTACCTCCTTCATGATTCTTTCATGTTCTGGGTGAGTATGTTTGGGAATAAATGTGGAGATTATAGTTTTAAAACAGAAATAAATCACATCCAATTCTATTTGTTTTGAGAAGAATGTACATGGAAGTGGGTTTCCCAAACTTTAATACACATACGAATAACCTAGAAAATTTGTTAAAAATGCAGATTTCAAGTTTCCCTCCTATTCATATTGTGAATGGGCATATCTGGAGAAGGCCAAGAAACCTAGTGTAAAATGAGCAAGGGCCACATGAAGATGGCCATTAAACTTTTATCAGCTTCACAAAGGAGAACTGTCCCTGACAACAGTTTCAATAACACAAAACTAATTCCCCTGAGATCATACATGATGCCCATGCTCCCACACCTCTTTCTACTCGTCTCAACACCAATCTTACTGCTCTGCTGGGTTCAAAAATCCAATGTAATAGCTCACCAACCATACAGAACCAAGTTAGGAAGTCAAGAGGTAACAATCCAGGTTATTAGAAGAAGAGAGGATGGCTCCGAAAATGTGCTCACATGCACTTCAGCTTTGAGCCTCATGGCTTTAGGCCAGTGTTATAAAGTTCTCAGTCCTGCAAATTATGGTCTCCCACCTCCAGTTGTCCAACAAACTTGGGCAAAGACTCTTACTTTCAGTTCTAATGGTGTAGAGGTCCCATCTCACATCAAGACCCTAGTTTGGCCATGGCAGCTGCCGCTGCTGCTGCTGTCTCAAAGGGCAATGTATGTTCTCTTGCTTCTTTTTCGCCTGAGTGGGAAAGTTCTTTCCTTTTTTAATGATGGGGAAAGATCTCAGGTTTGTGGCTAGAGCTGTTCAATTTATTTGTGAGACTAGCAAATTCCCTTGTAGATTGTTGTGACTGGCAAATCCCCTTCTTAAATGGTGAGAGAGCTAATCCTCTTGTTGATAGGCTAATGTGCTTTCCCCCTGTATCCCACCCATCTATATGGTCAGGTCGGATTCAAATGGCTAGGGAAGATATATCAAAAGATAAACTCCATACCTAGTAAACCTTTTTTTATGTAGACCTTGTTGAACTTGATAAAGACGGTCTATTGAATATACTTTGGGTACTCTCCCAATTAACTCCCAATACTTAAGATACCCCTGCCAGATGGCCTAAACTCTCTAAGCCATCTTGGAATCCATGAACTGTATCAAGAATCAGAGCTAAAAACCATAAAGGGAATGTGTTTTATAAGGATCTTCTCTTTATAAAATTTGGGGGAAGAACCACAGTTTGTTTAATCATTCACCCATTGACAGATATTTGGGTAGTTTTCAATTCTTTACTACTGTAAATAATATTACAATAAACAGATGTGTGTGTGTGTGTGTGTGTGTGTGTGTGTGTGTGTGTGTTAACCTGTGTTGCTGTTCTTAATTCTTTAGGTTAATAACTAGTAGTGGGATTGCTGAATCAAATTATATTTTTATTCTCAATTTTATAAGAAAGTGCCAAACTACTTTTTACGGTGGTTGCACCATTTTATATTCCCACTCGGTTGTCCTTTTGAAAAGACTCAGTGGTAGCTGGCATGACAGGAAGAGGTTTAAAATTTTAGTGTGTGTTTAGGTTATACAGCATTAAAGTTCAGATTAGATATTCCATCTAAAAGACCAATTAGTCTATGATTCTAATGAAAAGGAAGAATGGCCTTGTTCTCTGTTTTGGAGGAAGTACAGAAATCAAAGCTGGTTTCATTATATCTTAAAAGAAAAACAAAATCCTCTCCTTAGTGTTGATTCCTATTTAGAGAGGCCCTGTAGGCCAGAGTGGAACTGCCCTGTAACATTACCAAGGCTGTAAATCTTACAGAATCAGAGTGTCATATCTTTCTTCCAAGGAGGAACAGGTGGGTTAGCCCCTGAATATCGTAACCACTGCCCCACTCTTTGATGCAAAACTCTTTGGTTTCAATATTCCTAACTACTATTCCTTTTTGAGAGGAGAAAAGAAAATTTGTTTCAAAAGACAGGAGAAATGAAGTGGTATTAGGATTATTCCTAAGTATAGATTGCTATACCCAGCAAAAGGTTGGGCAGAGAGAGAATGGAAATGACAATAAGAGGAGATTAGAAACAAAAGGAAAGGTCTAGGGGAAGCTGGCAATCTGTGTGTGTGAGGACAGAAGAGGAACACCAAATGATTCAGTGTGCTTTTATTGGAAAGTTAAGAAGTACTGTTGAGGTTTTAAATCAACTCCCTGTGTTTCTTTAGCAATGTTTACACTCCTGGGCAACTCAAATGGAGCAACCTGTGCATTTCCTTTCAAGTTTGAAAATAAGTGGTATGCTGACTGCACAAGTGATGGTCGATCAGACGGGTGGCTCTGGTGTGGAACCACTACAGACTATGACTCAGACAAACTATTTGGATTTTGTCCATTGAAATGTAAGTAATTACTTACTAACAGGAGAAGAGTGGTACATTTAACTTTTAATTCCTTGCCATTTGTCTTAAGTATTTCCCTCTTCAACTAGTGTTCTCATTCTCAACAATAGACTTTTTGCATGTATTTAAATAGTGCTAAGAAGACTTTGCTGCTTGCCATTATCTAAGCATTCTCTGCATCAAATGACCCCCTCATTTGCACGAATTCTTTACTCCATGCTCGAGTCTTAAGGTTGGTTATTTTCTAAGATTTTAGGACAAATTTTATTGCAGAAAATGCAGCATATATGCATTTCCTGAGGTAGGTATGACATTTTTCCATCCTACAGATGATTTTTTTCAACTATAGATCAGCAGTAGGATATGATGGTAAAATCTGTGATTTGAGACAGAGAGAGAGAGAGCGAGAGAGAGAGTGAGCCTGAATTTGAGGGTCAATGTGATGAAAATTAGAGGAATGACACTTGTCTTAAATATCATTTACAGTTTTGAATTTATGGGAATTATTTATTTGCATACTTGAAGATTTATTAAATAAAAATTGCAAGTATTGCACTAATGCAAAAACCAGATGAGTTCCTTGGGGAGTTCTGGTGGCCTAGTGGCAAGAAGCTGCACAGCCATCTCAGAGGCATGAGGTTCAGATCCACCGGATCCTCTGCTGGAGAAGGAGGGACAATCTCCTCCTGTACCAATCAGATCTAATTTGACAGTATACACACACACACACACATTAAAAAAAAAAAAAAACAAACCAGATGAATTCTTAGTATTCTTTCCACACTTATGAATTTCCAAAGTAATGTCTATAAGATTTTTGAGTGTGGTGGAGATGGCCATCAGAATCGGGAGGTAGAGTTGGAGATGAGGAAGGAGAATAAGGAAGGATTCTTCTTTGCTTTAAGTTCATCACCACCCCACACCCTCCTGCTGTTGCCAGTTTCCCTTTTCCTGTTCCTCTGTCTAAAATTTTAATGTCCTGACCTCTCACCTGCCCCTTCAGACTTTGTGGATTAGAGTGTTTCCACCTCCTGGAATTACCCTCCATTAGGTTTCTGAGGCTGAAAATTTTAACAGAAGAACAATGTCTTATCATTTTTCTAGACAGCAACTGGTAGATTAGAACTGTTGACCTTTTTGTTAGTGACTCAACATCAGTAGGGCTCCTTTGATGAATCAAATGTGAAGGGACAAATGTTAAACTTTACTCAGAAAGAAAACTCATACCTTTGGATGATGTATGTTGAAGTCTCGTCAGCATGTTGAGAAGAATTTTGTTGTTGTTGTTGTTCATTCAACTTTAATTTACATCTTCAAAAGCAAATGAGATGTTTTCCTGTTAACTACAAAAATAAAAGAGCTATAGAAATGAAGAAAAAGGTTTTACTTCAATATGCATTAAATTTTTATACATATTTTTATAAATGCATGCCATTTTCAATGAGCTTTGCAGTTTTCCAATTGATTTCATTTTCTTTACCTTGTGTTCCTTCCTAAAAAATATTATTTTATATAACCTCCAAATTAGCAGGTCCAATACAGGACAATGAGATACCAGTTACTGACCTGACGGTGTTGAATATATGCCCCTCATTGTCTTTTGCACTATTTATTGTAATGTTTTCCTTCTATTTATACATTTATTTTCAAGTATCATGAGAACAGGAAAAGGAAAAGACCATTTTCTCTCAATTTTCCGTAGCTTGCAACTTTAGTTTTCAACATCAGTTGAGCTTGCTTACTGTGGCAATCTTAATTATTTGGACAGATATTGACTCACCCATACATTTATTGAGAAATGTTCTAATTTCTTGATTTAATTGCAAAATGCTCTTTAAGTAATGAAGAGTCACATTCTTTATCTTTCTTGTCCATTTATACTCCATTCCTTTCTCCATGGTTAGGAAAATAATGCCCCCGTTTTTAAAAACTTTTTTTTGGTCCTCATTTTTATAGACCATCTTTTCAGCCTTGCTGTAAGTAAAATTTCCAAATTCTAAGATAACCTTTTTAGCATGTAAGTTTTGTTTAAAGCATCACTTATGAAAATAAACCCCGAATTGATCTCATTTGAATGATCCCATGAAAAAAGAGTTCATTTGGACAGTAAGTGAAGCTTCAGATTGATATCATTCACCCAGATATTATAAACAAAAATGTCTTTTTATATAAATATACAAGGATAAAACCACAAAGAATTATCTATGTTATTGCTTGAATGAAATTTTGTCACAATTTTATTTCTCCACGTTCTGTGAGATCTCCAGCTTCGTGTCACAGGATGTTGTGTGTGGATGAGAAATTTCTACCATTACTTCCTCATTAGTGACAAAGCACAATTAGACACACAGCTTACAATATAGAGTGTGTATGTAACATGCCTTTGGAGAGCTGAGTCATTCTTTAGCAAGTAGGATATTTTCCAAAGAAATTTAACAAGTTAGGTTTTCCCCCCTCTTTTCTTTACAAAGAAATGAAAAAAAATTCTAATTATTTCATTAGCATTTTCCTCCCATAATTAATTAAAATTCATTAGAAATCTCCTTCCATGTGATTAACTGTCTCTGAAACCCATTCGAGGGTCCACTCTGGATTGGTTTCAACTCTACAGTACACAACAGCAACAATTAGTCATATGACTTGAAAGGATAACCTCATATTGTTAAAAAAGTCCTAGGAGATAATTCTAAACCATTTATATGTTGCTGTTGTTATGTACCACTGAGTTGTTATTGTTGTTGTTAGATGCCGTTAAGTATGACTCACAGTGATCCTATAAATCACAGATCTGAGCCCTGTGCCATCCTCACAATCTCCAACCCCCTCAAGCCTATTGCTGCAGTGATTGTGTCAATCCACCTGGTTGAGGATCTCCCTCTGCTTTGCTATCCCTCTACTTTCCCAAGAATGATGTCCCTCTCCAAGGAATATCCTCTCCTAGCAACTGTGTTGCTGTTGTTGTGTACCACTGAGCTGGAACCAACTCATAGCTTACCGCCTGGTGGGTTTTCAGAGGGGGAAAATCACATGGAGGAGATGTCTTCCTTTCTCCCGTGGAATAGCTGGTGGATTTAAACAGCTTTCCTTTGGATTGGCAAAACAACTCCCTACCGTAAGGTTATCAGAAGCATATACAAATATTTTCTTGGCTGTTTATTTTCCAAACATCTCCTATGTAAAAGCTATAAATAAATCACTAGCTCTGGTGGCCTAGTGGTAAGAAATTGTGCTGCAATCCCAAAGATGTGTGTTTCAAACCCACCAGCTGCTTTGTGGGAAAAGGATGGGCAATCTCTTCCCGTGCATTAACTGCCTCTGAAAACATGCTCAGGGGTCAGTTCTGACTCAACTGTATCCAACAACCTTCTGTTGTATTCACTCTTCATGACCGTACATTAAAATTTATATTGAAAATAATAAGCTAAAACAATTACCTCCAACTTTGAGGAAACAAAACCTAATAGTTCACATCCACTAGGTGGTAGGAGTTTTGTTTATATTAAATATATTATAAAGATGAGGATAAGTAGCTCCCAAATTGATGTGTGAGGATGTGTGTGTGGTAGAGATACAAGTCAGTTTCTTGTGAAGTCCACGCGCCTCTTCTGTAATGCCGTGTGTTTTCTGAAAAGATGGGAGAGGGGGAAATCTATCTATCTATCTATCTATCTATCTATCTATCTATCTATCTATCTATAGAGATCACATTTCTTCTTTTCACTTTTGCTAGCTTAATCAGGGTATTTGCTTGTTTCCACGTTCAGCTGATCCCAAATGAGTGGAACAACGTGAGATGGTGTCTTCTCTTTTTAGAAACATGAAAGTGATAGGACATGGTGAGCCTTTGAAAACTCTCCTACAATTCAGGAGGGAGGAGAATCTCATTTGGATCTTAAGAATCAGTTTTTAAAAACTTCGAAGGCTACATTCAGACAATGATGCTGCTAGGATCGTTTGATAAATAATGTTCACAAAAAGCCTTTTCTGTGTACCATGCAGCAAAGTTTCCTTGACCTCTTTTGCAGTTGAAGGCAGTGAAAGCTTATGGGAGAAAGATCCGTTGACAAGCATTATGTATCAGATAAACTCCAAATCAGCTTTAACTTGGCACCAGGCGAGGAAGAGCTGCCAGCAACAGAATGCCGAGCTGTTGAGCATCACAGAGATACACGAACAAACATACCTGACAGGTAAGAACATGAAAAGGAAATGATGTTCTAAGTGCAAATAGGATTATTTTCCTTTTTATATGGCTTAACTTACACGTGGAAAGCACAGGGACCACAGCCATCGTTACAGAAGCAAGTCATGGCAAAGTGCGGCAAATTTGCAACTGGAAATGACACATCAGAAATGGGTTCCACCTCATGAGCATCCAGCTTTATTCCATTGGTGTGACAGTCTTTAGAACCCTGGGTTCAGAGGGATTCTGAGGACCAATCTGGGCTCAGAGTCAAAGATTCTTTCGTCAGTGATGTTGCTCTTGGCTAGTTAAGTATTCACAGTCAAAATTTTCTGTCCACATCACAAAACTCAAAAAGAGAAAATGAAGTTCTGCAGCTTTGAAACCCTCATTTTTCTGCATCATCTATCTCTGCAGTGCTCATTGGAGGAAACATGTACAGTTCCCAGCCTACCAAATATTTAGCCCCAGGCCTAGCTATGTCTTAATAAGGCTTTGCCATATCCTGATAAATTGACCAGGTCCTAATAAAGCCCTGTGCCTGATCCTATACCGACAGGACCCTTGCCCACAAATTCCCGAGCAAATTACCATCCACCCCCAAATCTTCTTAACAGCTCCTGTATGGGGAAATCTCTCTTTGTCTATTTGAGTGCCATTCTGATCTTGTCTGAGCAGTCACTTGATATACTTCTCTGATCTACTTAATAAAGGCCTGTTCGTTTCTTGGGACCAATTTCTTCTCTCTCGCTCTTTCAACTCTCTATCTAACACTCATATTCCTGGTTTTCAGTGGTGTAGTCTGTATAAAGTTAGTTGCTCTGCTAACAGAAAGGTTGTGCTTCTTTGGTGGTTCGAATCCATGAGCTGCTTATCAGGAGGAAGATTGCCAAGCTCCTTTGCCATTTATAGACTTTGAAAACCTCTCAAGGGGTTAACTGTGAGTCAATTCTGATTGGGGATGAAGGTGGTTTCGTTGTTGTTGTTAATTTGATGCTCTATTCACAAGTTTCATTTTGTTTTTAAAAGCATTTAATTGTACAGGATTGTCAAGGTTAAGAGCTCATGTTTGCTTGGAAACGGAGGATTTGGCTTTTTAAAATTTTTTTATTAATGTTGATAAACATTTACAGAGATTTTGGATTTCCATTCATTCATTGCTGCACTTTTCTCCCTGCCCACCCCTCCCCACCAGTTCGCTCCTCTCTTTGAAAAGAAAAAGAAAAAAAATTCCTTCATTGGTATACAAAAGATCTGTTTTAACTTCTAACATTTACTGTTGAGGAAATGCGTATTAGCAAGAGGAGTCAGCGAAAGGCTTGAGGCTCCGCCCACTGCTGCACCAATTTCCTGGACCCTGTTGTTATCAGGCCCCAGTAGCAGGAAATGCTTCCCTAATCAGCAAGTTACTATTATTGTGTTTCTCAAGAGAGCAAATAAGTCCTCAGAGATGCAGATGCCCAGTTCACCTTTGATATTTATTTGAATCTTATCCAAACCCAGGATTTTAGTCAGCAAAATTAAGCTGGAAGCTGGATAAGACCGACTTCTCTATGAGATTTGTAGTACTTCCTGCTTTTCCTTAAATCGAAAATATCACACATTGTGGGGGAAGGAAAATAATCTGATAAGGAATTAAAAAAAATATTGTGTTTTGGAGTGGGAAGGTATTCATTCAGACATTGAGTGGATACAAATTGGGAAGAACAGAGAAAATAATCTTTTGATTGAGGATGTGTGAACAGTTTCTAAGTACCATTGGGTTATACTTTGAAAGCTCACAACATTTCACATAAATATTAACTACTTTATAGATGAGATATAAAACTAAGAGAAGTTAGGAAACTAGGCTAAATAAAGCCTCATTTAAAACCCAGAAAATAGTTATCTTGGAATTCCGTTCAGACTTTGCATGTCAGAGTTTCCCCTGTGATTGAGAAGATTGAGGGCGTGACGCCTAGCTGAAAGGTCGGAGTTCAGATCCACCCACTGGTGGAAACAGACCTGGTGATGTGCTTCTAAAAGTCACAACCTTGAAACCTTGAGGAGAACAGTTCTATCTACATGTGGGGTCACTGTCAGTCAGAATCTACTCAGTGGCATTTTACAACAAGAACTTTCCATGTCACCATGCTGTGACAATAAGCAGTGATCTGGTTGTCCCCAACTAGTAAGCCCATAGTCATGGAGTAATTTTCGCTCATGGTGTTCCCATGGGGATCAGACTGGATCTGTGCTCTACAGTTTCAGCAGTGGACAGGTAGGCCATTCTTCTGAGGCATCTTTGGGTAGAATACTTGGTATTTGTTGTTTATTATTGTTATGTGCCATTGAGTACCCCTGTGATTCATAGCAACCCTTTGTACAACAGCTCTGAAGCCCGCCCTGCCCTGAGCCAGTCTCACTGCCCCAGACACACCTACTCTGATTATCCCAGTTACTGTGTTAATCCATCTTATATGGGTTCTTCTTCTTCTTGGATGTTCCTCCGCCCTTCCAAACATGATGTCCTTCTCCAAGGACAGGTGCCTCCTGACCATATGCCCAAAGTATGTGAGATGGAGCTTCAAACTCCTAGCCGCCAAGGAGAAACTTGGTTTCACTCTCTTCAAGACAGATCTATTTGTTTTCTTGGTGGTCCATGGTATGTTCAAGATTCTTCTCCAGCACCACAACTCGAAGGCATTGGTTCTTCTTAGTCATTGTCCAGCTCTCTGATGCTATGTACTATAGTATTTACTACATGTTTACATAGTATTAAATGTGTATGTGATATTTTGGTTAGTAGCTGAAAAAGCTAACCTATCCTAGGGCTCCTACATCACTGCTAACTCAGAACTCAAATTCACTGCAGTTGAATTGACTCATCCTCCGTAGGATTTTCCATGCAGTAACCCTGACTGTCCATCTTTCTCCCAAGAGGAGCCACTGGTGGATTTGACCAGCTGGTTATTTGCTGCACTGTGGTTGGCAGTACAATATGTACTAACTGGAACTCTTAATTTAGGGTATCAAGGTCCCTACGAAACTGGGATTAGGTGTGTTGGAGTCAATGAGACTGGCTCAGGATAGGGCAGGGATCAGAGCTGTTGTAAACAAGGTCCTTGTGAGTCCCAGAGGACTAGATGGCACCTATCACCATCACCACCAAACAGCAGCATACAACAACAACAACAACAATGCAGCAGTAAATTCACTCTTTAATTGACAATCTCACTTCATATTATCTGCAGGGCCTGCGGTTCTGCCCAGAAGTTCACTTGTATTACCTACTAGTATTTCATCATCTTCACTTCTGCTTTTGCCCTGAAAAAATATTGGAACGATCATTTAATCCTCAATTCCCGAATCAGATTCATAACTCCACATGTGCAGGACTCTGTTTTACAGAACTGAAATAAACAATGGGAAGTGAAACTTGGTCTCTTACCCTGATAGATTTTGCCAGTTTCCTCTTGTGTTGAAAAAAAAAAAAATTAATACCTCAATGTATAAAAGAAAAGCAATATAAAATTGGGCATTAATATAGCTTCTATTAGTGTGGAAAAGGGAGCTCTGGTGGTCTAGTGGCAAGAAACTGCACTGAAGTCCCAAGGGCACATGGTTTGAGACCAACAGCTGCTCCATGGGAGAAGGATGGGCAATTTCTTCCTGTGGGATTAACTATGTCTGAAAAACCACCAGAGGGTCCCCTATGGGTCAGTTCTGACTCCATGGTACACAGCAACAACAACAACAACATAATTATTAAATTAAAAAGTAAATGCGTAATTTATAATTGATGTAGTCTGATGATTATATAAATTTTAGCGTTTATGTATTCTGAAAAAATCAGATTTTTAGAAATGAATATTAATTTATTGTAATTATTTAATTATTTGACATTACTTCAGTTGTAAAAATTTCATAATGCAGATAAAACAGTTACAATAATGAAAACAATAAATATATAATTATTTAAGATATTACAGGCAGAAAGCTTTAATTAGCATAGGAAATTGATGCTTTGTATTACAATACTGCAAATTTGTCCCTTTAGAGAAGAAATTTATGAACAGTGTTTACCTGCATTAAGTGAAATTTAATGATATCTGCATGAAATGATACTGGGTTTGGAGTTCTGCCTCCAAAGGGCGTCTTGTGTCAACCTTAATAGAATATAGAATTGTTATTAATAATGGTACTCATAATAATAACGGTAATTACCAGTTTCAGTTGTGATTCTGACTCGTGATAGCTTCAGAGCAGAACTACGCTGCGTGTGGTTTCAATGGCTAATCGGAAGTAGATCTCCAGATCTTGCTTACAGGAAACTTCTGGATGGGCTCAAACTTCCAACCTTGGTTACCAGTCAAGTGCATGAACTGTTTGCACTATCAGGGACTTTGATGGTATGAAGAGCTTACATAAATTGGGCACATGCATTGTGCCAGGCTCTGTTTTAAGTACTTTACATATATAAATTGGTTAAATATCTGAAAAGTTGCTGTTGCTGTTAGGCTCTGTTGTGTCAACTTCAAACCATAATAGCCTGACATGCAATGAAAGCCTGCATGATCCTGCATGATTCACACAATCTCTGCTGTGCACATTGCTGGAGTCACTGTGCCCACATCCATCTCAATGAATGTTTATTTTGCTGATTCTCTACCAAACATGATGTCCTTCTCCAGGGACTTGTCCCTCTTGATAACATGCCCAAAGTATTTGAGATGAAGTCTCATCTTCTATAACAAAGGATAGATAATTCTCTTAAAGAGCTTTTATCTTTTCTCTTCATGACAATACAGTAATTGAATTGCACAATTATCACACCAAAATCTACCTGAGCTCTTCATTTAATAGTGTATTGTTATGTACAACTTAAATGCATTTATTTCTTTTTTACTAGATTTAGTTGTTAGGTTCTGTCGAGTCAAGTATGAGCAACACATTTGAACCCTATTCTGTTCTGTGGCATCTTCCCAATCTCTGATATACTTGAGCTCATTGCTGTAGATACCATGT